ATATAAATGTGTCTTTAAAATAAAACATTAAATAAATGCATGCCGACAAAGGGCAGCATACTTCAATAGAGCGCAGCTGCGTGGTCAACACATCTATGCTTCAATATAAGCAACGAAACAGTGAGACTTCCCAAATCTGATTGTCGACTGATGAAGCTAGTTTTAATTACAGGCGAAACGTCGTACTCAGATTGTAAATGTTGTGGCTTGGCTCTCCAACACACCGGTGTGCTGTACTCGTGAAACATTTGCTTGTTCTGTTTACGTGACAATCCTTACTAGTTCGCTTTGTCGGGTGGTGGCGGGTTTCAACGACACATTTATATATTTAAGCGATCGAACCCAAAAAAACCTTTAATATGGACATGATAATAAACCAAGCTTACAAGCTAAACCATTCAGATGAGCATTCAAAGTTCATGGCAGAAATTATAATATAAAACACTCGTTTTCTAGAAGCACCCCGCTCAACACGATTGTCATTAAATATATTTATAAAACAAAGTCAGTACAGTATAAACTTGCACATCTTATTCCAATCAAGCTCGAGATCACCAATTTTTATATTTCAGACTGTATGTCGCTTTATAATCCTCTAAACTTGCAGCAGTTTAGAGGACATTGGGGGGTGAATATTAGCAAATTAACTCGAAGCACGGAATAATGCATGGAGATGCACATCCTTATTCAAACGGAAGTGTACAATTATGCAGTGAGATGTACATACGTATTATGTTGCTAGATATGCGGATTGTTAATGTAAAAATTACAATTGAAGACAAAGTCCATGATAGGCCAAGGCGAGAACAAAGGATTTGGATGTAGTGAGATGTACATACGTATTATGTTGAAATGCAATTATGGGATTATTCACTACTTGTGGAATGCGTAGGAGGTGGGCGGGGGGTTTCAAAGTCATATTATGCCCGTGCATTATGCAGGATTAGCAGCATCAAAGGGAGGGAGTAGGGTTAGCATTCATAAAGGGAAGGAATGTTAATAGTATGGAGCTGCAGTAACTAAACCACCACGTAAAAAACTAAAATATGAACTACATCAGTATCATTAGTATACTAAATATACTCTCCAATAAGCTGAGCTACTAACAGAAATTCATACATTACAATTTTACGTCGCAAAAAACAGAATATGCCTCCAGCTACACTTTTTTCTCTTACATCACACGAGTCTACCCCGTACTATATACTGCCATAGACAAACCCAACATTAAATAATATGCTGTATAACTATACACCACCCTATACCTTAGACTATACATTATAATATTACACTATGTATTATTCTACCCACCCTACTGTATACCATACTGCTGTATATTCACTATACAATTATGATACTATATATTACCTTATACATTATATTAAACATTACACTTTTATACTATTTGTTATTATACAATCTTCTGTGCGCCTTTTGGCGTCATCTGGTCCAACCCATATGAGACTAGGCTCGAAGGAAAGCTGTCTCGGGTGTGGACCAATCAACTTCAAGGACAGTGCACATTATCAGAGTTATGTCTTTTGTTTGTATTTATGACTGCAGGTATTGCGGTCTATGCAAACATGACTCCTTGCAAAAAGGTGTCAGTTTTGTTGCCAGATAGAAGGGTAAAGAACCAATTATCACACTCCCTGTTGTTTGGCATTCCCCTGCCCACGAGTAAAGTTCTGTAAAAACAACCCCCTACCTCATCAGCGGTGCAGGGCGGTAAAGCTGTGGTCAATGTGAGCAATGTCCGAGAGGGAAGGCTCATAGACATCACAGAGGCCCACGAGGTCTCCGGACTGTTGCGATGGGCTGGTAACCCCTCCACATTCAATGCACTTACCGTGAGAACACGTGGTAAATAAAAACACACACATCACTGTACATACACATCAGTGTAAATACACACTGCTATAGACTGATGATGGTTATAATAATAAACAACACTTACAAACTATACCATCCAGATGGGTATCCAGAGCAATTGTAACCGTTTTAATTGATCGAATATAACAAATAACCTTCGTTGTTTAGACACACCATCAACAAGAGTCCTTAAAAATATCCATAAAATCAAGTCACCACGCTATAAAGCACCTCTTAGAATATCTCCATCAGCATTGCAACATTTTATACTTATATTCATAGTCGATAAATTGATCACAGTTTACAGGCCATTGTAAATGTGCAAACTAACAACATGTACATACCACCCCCCAATGTCCTCTAAACTGCTGCAAGTTTAGAGGATTATAAAGCGACATAGAGCCTGAAATATCAAAAATTGGTGATCTCGAGCTTGATTTGGAATAAAATGTGCAAGTTTATACTGTACTGACTTTGTTTTATAAATATATTTAATGACAATCGTGTTGAGCGGGGTGCTTCTAGAAAACGAGTGTTTTATATTAAAAAACTCTGCCATGAACTTTGAATAATCATCTGAATGGTTTAGCTTGTAAGCGTGGTTTATTATAATGTCCATATTAAAGGTTTTTTTGGGTTAGATCGCTTAAATATACAAATGTGTCGTTGAAACCCACTACCACCCGACAAAGCCAACTAGTTAGGGTTGTCACGTAAACAGAACATGCATATTAGTCACTAGTACAGCACACCGGTGTGTTGGAGAGCCAAGCCACAACATTTACAATGTGAGTACGACCTTTCGTCTGTAATTAAAACTAGCTTCATCAGTCAACAGTCAGATTTGGGAAGTCTCACTGGCCCCTACAGCTCGTGAGTGTGACGTCATGAGTGTGACCAGCGGACTGCCACGATGCTGCCAGGTAAGGGTAAACTTGTGTGATGGAGATGCTTCACCTGAAACTCGCCTCCACACGTGTTCGCTATGAACATTGTAGCAATAAGGGACGATTAGTCATCTTTAACATGTCAGGTCTTTATTGTTCTGCAAGTATATGAACGTTAAAACTCGTAGAAACACATGCACACTCGTGTGTAAATGCACACCGCTGTATATACAGTCGTGTTTGGATGCACACTCGTGTGTGTATGTCAACTCGTCCGTGTTTTTTAAAGGAAACATGGTAGCAATAACGTACGATCAGTCATCTTTAAAAACAAATCAGGTCTTTATTAATTTGCAAGAAAACTCACGTTAATACTCGTGTAATAACAGCCATAGAGGGTTCACGTGGGGATTGGCTTGCCAATCCTGCTTTGTAGCCAATAAGGGTTGAGATAGGGAGCATGGCCCCGGCGTGATCACGGCATGTCATCAGGAGTGATTGGCCCAGCCATTCGGGGCCCCAGCTAATGGGAAGCCGGATGAGAGGCGTGGTCCCGGGATTGACAGGGAACCATCGAGAATGGTCGAGGCTGTCCATGAAGGATTGGCCGGGGGGACCACGTGACGGAGGGATTAAGAGGGAGTGAGAGAGAACGATCGAGAGCAGACTGGGGAACGAGCAGAGCGAGATGCCACGCGCGTACGGGGGCTCTGGGTGCCACGTGCGCGGTGGGAACTGGTGTGAAGTCTGCCCGCTCTCTGTTGTCTGCCAGCAACGGAGAGTGTGTGAGTAAAGTGTATTGTGGTGAAAATAAAGAGGACCGATTCCGAAGCCGTCTCAGAAGGATTATTACACTCGTATCGACATCTTTATTAATACGCTTGCTCAAACAGGAAAGGAACTAGGCAAATTATTTCCCAATAGGAATTCAACAGTTAAAAGATATTCTTAAAATCAAACTTAGGATGGCTCTCTTTTCATGTTCACGGAGAATCGCTACAAATCCTTTGTTCTTCCCCAACATACAGGGTGCACCATCAGTACAGACAGAAATAAGTTTATCCATCGGTAGTTTTTTTTATTTAGCAAACTCCATGAAAGACGTGAATAAATCCTCTCCTCTTGTTGTCCCTTTCATTGGCAAAACAGCCAAGCTTTCCTCACGCAGTGTGTCACCTGCAGCATACCTGGCAATTATACTGAACTCAGATAGATGGCTAACGTCTGTTGACTCATCTAACGCGAGAGAAAAGTATGTCCCGGCGTTTATGTCCTTAATTTGTGTTTCCTCGACTTGATTTGCCATCATGATGCTACGATCGTGAACAGTTCTTGCTGACAGAGGCATGTCTTTTATTCATTTGATTATCTTGTCTTTATTTGGGAAGTCATCAAACAGTTCATTGGCCACATCAAGCATGAATGTTTTGGCATACTCGCCATCTGTGAATGGCTTTCCATTCCTTACTATTGCCAAAGCACCCGCAAAGCTAGCGGAATTCCCGTCACCTTGCTTGGTCCACACACGTAGTTGCTGCTGACTCGTCTGCACTCTCCGCTGTAGCTCTTCGCATGCCTTTTTCCTGCTGTCCCCCGCTGGATATTTCGATGCAAATGAAGCATGGTGCGTATCGAAGTGCCGCTTTATATTTGACCGTTTCATCAATGCAATTTTATCATTGCATATTAGACATACCGCAGATCCTGCTCTCTCCACAAATGCAAATTCCTCTGCCCACGCAGCCTGGAATGCACGGTAATCATTGTCTTTTTTATTTTCACCATCTTTTCCGTTACAAGGGTTGAAGCGGATAAACTAGTTGGCTATCTGATCAAATGGATTTCTACACCTTTACAATAACCCGTCACATGCTCGCGAGCCATTGGTTCCCGACCCGACCCACGGGTCACGGGTCACAGGGCCCGTGACCCGTGAAATTTATCTTCAAAACTAATTTCTGTTTACTTTAAAATGACACAGTATTATTAAGCAATATCACAAGTATTTAAAAATCAGTTCCAAACTGATTTTTTAAAATTATTATTATTTTTTTCAACTCAAAATTGTCTGGGAGCCATATGCCGTCACCGGAAGAGCCATATATGGCTCGCGAGCCATAGGTTCCCGACCGCTGGTGTAGTGTATAGTGTAGTGTATAGTGTAGTGTATAGTGTAGTGTATAGTAGTGTAGTGTATAGTGTAGTGTATAGTAGTGTATAGTGTAGTGTATAGTAGTGTATAGTAGTGTATAGTGTAGTGTATAGTAATGTATGGTAATGTATAGTAGTGTATTGTAGTGTATAGTGTAGTGTATAGTGTAGTGTATAGTTTGTTGATGGCTCGTGTGCCATCAACAAAAGGACCCTGTCCACCAAAACATGAAGTGGTAGATTAGTGAGATGAGAGACCTGGAGACAAGACACAGGCCAGTGAGATGAGAGATGAATAAGCGGTAGAGTTTGGAGAGCTATAGACATACAGATTAGTGGTCACAAGCACACACATGTTACATGACCCGCCAGCACATGTCAGCTTTCTTTTACGTGGCTCTGGAAAATGTGGCTGAAGATCCCCCGCTCGAGAGTGGATTGGCAGCAAGGTGGCTCTGCACGACGCGAGGAAGCAGCAAGGTTGGACTGGACAACACTCGAGACTTTAATTGCATTTCAGGGCGAGCCACAGGTGCCACGATCGCACGTGGGCACTCGGTCAGTCGCGACGAAACCTACAGATCACATTCATTTAAGCAACACACAAGGTACACAGCAAATGCCACTTGTACGCAGTTAGTGCTTCGCTTTGGGCCAGTTCATTAGCAGACAACCGCTGGAGTAATTTTGAACTTTGCTCTTAACATCCCCGAGTGATTTCACTGTGCCACGTGCTGCTATTCTGCGCGCAGTAGCGAAGCTGCCTTGTCAACGATGAGAGGCGACTCCTCGCACCGATGATGGCGATGGCGGAGGCGATTGGATTCGTAGCCGGATCAAGCGGTGCCAGTCCCCCTTTATACCGCGTCGACTCGTGTCGTCGCCGAGACTCCGCGAGCATCCACTACACACCACTCTCCACCTCCGCCACCGTCACGTCGAACAAAGACAGGTCCACGACGCCGCGCTCCACATCGACGTCGATCGGCGCAAACAGCCGACCGGCCAGGACCTCCGACCTCAGGTACGAGGTCCTCTGACGGCAGACGGTGCCCGAGCCCTCGCAGGTGGCCTGCAGGAACACGGCGAGCTCCACGTGCTCGTCCGGCCACCTCGGCTCTCGCAGCAGCAGTGGCAGCAGGGGGCTGTCGGGGCCCAGCTCGTGGTGGAAGGTCAGCGGGAAGAGGAAGTAGGGCCAGGGCCGGGCCCCCAGCTGGTCCGGCCAGAAGTCGACGGCGCTCTGGCGGAGAGGCCGGCCCGGCCGCGAGCGGTAGAGCACGGCCGACACGGCCACGTCCAGCAGCGCCGACGGGCGCAGGTTGGCGACGCGGAACGCGAGGCGGCGGCGGCGTCGCTCCCCGCCGCGGCCCCCCCAACACACCACCGCCACGTCGCTGAAGCGGATGGTGCCCGTGTGCGGCTTGGGCCGCGCCATCTTGGCCACGAACGCTCCTGGGGGCGGCACGGGGGCGGCTCGGCCGCCGGGGTCAATTAATAATTGTCGCGCGCACAGCGCGTCCCAAGAGACCCGGGAGGGTCCCGCTACGTCGGGATGTTGGGCTGAGGGGGGCCGCATTCACCCAATGAAGCCAAACTGCGATTGTGCTCAACACCGACCTGAAGCTTTCGTCTCCGCTCCATTTCTCATCATCTCCACTCTCGCGAGCACCGCTTAGTTTCACTTGTCAAACGTCACAACTTGACCACTACCCCCGAGGGCGCTCTCGGTGCCAAACCACGAGACCGAGAAGCCGTTGGGGACTCGCACTCCCGTCGTAGGTCGCTCACAAACTTGGGAGACGGTGACCTCTTGATGAGGTTTATCCAAATGTATTCTGATAGTGACCCTAAGAAAAGCGGACCACAAAGCAGTTCTACAGGAACCGTGGACGGTTTCTGCCTAATGCACAGAGGCCGAGTGCCTGTTGTGCGCGTTGTAGGTGACCTGCGTCTATCCTCGCATCACTAGCATTGAAACGGGCGTTTTACTTCCCCCCCCCCCCGCCAACCCCCATGAATCCGGCGGCCACGTGGCGCGGAAACTCAGAGGAGCCCCCCACGTGTCCGGGCACGGCTCTAGCCACGGGCGGGGGGGGGGGGGGGGGGGGGGCTGCTCCGGACGCCGAATCCACGGGGAGGAGGAGGAGAGCAAAGCCACAACATTTACAAGGGGAGTGTGACGCTTCGCCAGTAATTACAAACTAGCGTCGTCGAGTGGACGGCCAAGATTTGTCGAGAAATCCGTCCCGTTTCGTTCCTTGGAGGGATAGATGCGACGACGTCACACGCCGCGAGCCCTTCGCGTGCGAAGAGGGGAAAGTAACGAATGCACGCAGATTACAATGGGCGGCCATTGCTGGTCGGGTCACTCGTGGTAATCAACGTGAACTAGCTCAGATCCACTGCTGGATTATATGTTTCCCGCCCGAGGACGGCCGCTTGTGTTGACTTTACCGAAAGAACCAAAGGGGTGTGGATTCCAGCAGTCACGAAAGCTTCAAATCACATCGTGCTCATTGATATTCTTGGGTCAATGGGTAAAGTCACGTAGATAGGCTCAAAGAAAATAACAAAAAACAACAAAAAACGACGACGCTTCGATCGCAACACAAGATGAAACGTCCCGTAGACCCAAGCTTATTAATTGCTACAGTCACGGAAGCTTGAGGTCAAGATGCTCATTTCTGGCCAACCCTCACATCAACTGTGTCGCTCATCTCCAGGAGAGGTCCCGAGTGGCAACGTGCGCGCAAGGAGTCCCGCTGGGATCGGCTCAGCAGCCGCCCCCCGCTCCACGGGGCCACACACACGGCTGACAGAGGAGCGCTTTGAACGTTGGCAGGAAAGCTTCATCAGAGGACTGCATCCCGCGCGAATGTGAGGGAGCGTGCGAGAGACTGTGGGAGCCCGTGCCTGCGATGGACGCTGGAATTCGGAAGCCACGGAGGAGTGCGATTATAGCCACGCAACCCCCAACGGTGCGGGTCGCGGTGGCAGTAAAACCACCACGGTAGCGGAGTATGGGCAGCAAAACGACGGCAACTCTGTCTGTGCCACACTCTCTCCTCCCGCTCACACCGCCGCGTCTCACTCGCTCACACGCACGCTGAGACAAATGTCCTCGGTGTAACCGTAGTCAACTTGTGGGGCGAGTGCTGTTTGCGAGCACATACGAAGAAGGAGCACGAAGGGATGGATGGCCAGCACCACACCCGTCAGCCTCCGTCTCCTCGGTGGCGATATTCACACACGTGGAGTGGTGGTGGTGATGTTCACACACGTGGTGTGGTGGCGATGTTCACACACGTGGAGTGGTGGTGGTGATGTTCACACACGTGGTGTGGTGGTGGTGGTGTTTACACACGTGGTGTGGTGGTGGTGGTGTTTACACACTATCTCTAACACACACACACTGTCTCGAACACACACACACTAACACACACACGCACTGTCTCTCACACACTAACACACACACTAACACACACACAATAACACACACACACTGTCTCTAACACACACACTAACACACACTAACACACACACACACTAACACACTCTAACACACACACACTAACACACACACACACTAACACACACACACACTAACACACACTAACACACACTGCCTCTCTCACCGGTCATGAACGCGTCCAGCATGAGTCCCAGCACCATGTGCGTGCCCAGCAGCGCGGCGGCCGCGGGGCACGCCTCGGGGTCGGGGTGCATTGCCCCGTAGCCCACGGTCAGCTGCGTCTCCAGGGCGAACGAGAATGCGGCGAGCAGCCCCGTGAGCCGCCGCACGCACACGGCGCCCGAGGGGGGCGGGGGGCCCAGGTCGCCGTGCAGCAGCGCCAGCGCGTACCAGGCGAGGCCGAACAGGAGCCACGAGAGCGTGAAGCTGGCGGCGAACGCGAGCAGCACCAGCCCCCAGCGCAGCTCCAGCAGCCACGTCCACAGGTCGCCGAGGCGCTGCAGCGCGGCGCGGGGACCCCGCGGAGCCCAGCGCCGGCGGCTCGAGCCGTCCCGGCCGATCAGACGGCCGCCGCCGCCCCCCCCGGGGACGCCGTGGGGCCGGTGTCCGCCTGGGGAGGGGGGAGCCGGGGCCGGCCTCCACGGCCAGGGACACAGGCGCCGCAGGCGACTGGGTCGAGTCACCGACTCGCTGCTTCTCATCCGGGTCGGGGGTCTTCTCGGCTTTGCCTGCACTGCGAGTCTGGCTCGCTGTGGTGTCAGTGCCCCGTCTGGGTTGCACGCCCTGGCGACAAATTTAACATAATAAAATACAATTCTCACGACGTTTCGGCCACAACGCAAGCAGCCGTCCTCAGGTGAAGAACAGGTCTGTCGGGAAGACGGCGTCTGAATGAAACACCACCAGGCTTGGCAGCGTATATTTAAGCTGGGTTGGAGGGGGGAAGGGGCGCCTTGACAAAGGAATCTGCATATCAAGAGGAATTTAGACACGGGGAGACACGCTGAGACACAGAGACACGGGGAGACACGCTGAGACACAGAGACACGGTGTGACACAGAGACACAGAGACACAGAGACACGGGGAGACACGCTGCGACACAGAGACACACAGACACGGAGAGACACAGAGACACGGTGTGACACAGAGACACGGGGAGACACGCTGCGACACAGAGACACACAGACACGGAGAAACACAGAGACACACAGAGACACGCTGAGACACAGAGACACGGGGAGAGACACAGAGACACATCGACGATGATGGTGATGATGGTGACGATGATGGTGATGATGGTGATGTTGACTATGGTGATGATGGTGACGATGATGGTGATGATGGTGATGTTGACTATGGTGATGATGGTGGCGATGGTGGTGATGGTGACGATGATGGTGACGATGGCGATGTATCCTGGTGGCGATGGTGGTGATGGTGACGATGATGGTGATGATGGTGATTGTACCCTGGTGGCGATGATGATGGTGATGATGGTGGTGATGGTGACGATGATGGTGACGATGGTGATTGTACCCTGGTGGCGATGGTGATGATGGTGACGATGATGATGGTGGTGATGGTGACGATGGTGATGGTGACGATGATGGTGACGATGGTGATTGTACCCTCGTGGCGATGGTGATGATGATGATGGTAATGATGGTGGTGATGGTGATTGTACCCTGGTGGCGATGGTGGTGATGGTGGTGATGGTGGCGATGGTGATGATGGTGATTGTACCCTGGTGGTGATGATGATGGTGATGATGGTGATGATGGTGATGATGGCGATGTACCCTGGTGGCGATGGTGATTGTACCCTGGTGGTGGAGATGGTACCCTGGTGGTGACGATGGTGATGATGATGGTGATGATGGTGATGATGGTGACGATGGTGATGATGGTGATGATGGTGGTGATGGTGGCGATGGTGATGATGGTGACGATGATGGTGATGATGGTGACAATGGTGATTGTACCCTGGTGGTGATGATGGTGATGATGATGACGATGGCGATGTACCCTGGTGGCGATGGTGATGATGGTGATGATGGTGATGGTGACGATGATGGTGATGATGGTGATGGTGATGATGATGGTGATGATGGTGGTGGTGATGATGGTTGTGGTGATGGTAGCGAGTAGCAGCAGCACCTATGAAGGTAGACACAGACAAAGATCCCCCGTGTAGCCTCTACAGACTGCTGAGGCAAGTGCTGTTAGTAGCGAGTAGCAGCACCTATGAAGGTAGACACAGACAAAGGTCCCACAACCACCACCACCACAACCACCACCACAACAACCACCACCACCACCCCCATCATCACCACCACAACCACCACAACCACCACCACAACAACCACCACCACCACCACAAGCACTACCACCACAACCACCATCACAACCACCACCACAACCACCATCACAACCACCACCACAACCACCACCACCACCATCACAACCATCACAACCATCACAACAACCACCACAACAACCACCACCATCACAACCACCACAACCACCACCATCACAACCACCACAACCACCATCACAACCACCACCACAACCACCACCATCACAACCACCACAACCACCACCATCACCACCACCACCACAACCACCACCATCACCACAACCACCACAACCACCACCACCACAACCACCACAACCACCACCATCACAACCACCATCACAACCACCACAACCACCACAACAACCATCACCATCACAACCACCATCACCACAACCACCACAACCACAACCACCACCACAACAACCACCACCACTACAACCACCACCACAACCACCACCATCACAACCACCACCACAACCACCACCACCACAACCACCACCACAACAACCACCACAACAACCATCACCACCACAACCACCACCCCCACCACCATCACCATCACCACCACAACCACCACCACAACAACCACCACCACCACAACCACCACCACCACAACCGCGATGAGAATTTCTCACCTCGGGTTGCAGTTCACACGAGGCGGCAGGAGCAGCTGCTGCTGCTGCCTCGTGACGTCACGCGGCACAGGCCGTGACGTCACTTCTGGGATTCAAGTTCAAGTTTTCGGTGTCGCCCCGGGAGCCATTCGGCTCTTGAATCGGGTGCAACCGCAACAAACAGAAAACAAAAACACGAACAAGAAACATCTTAAAGTGAATACTCCCCTCCCGCAACGAGCGGCTCTGTAACTTAAATAAATTATGTTAATGAGCCCCCAGTCACCGGGCGTGGCTTTGCCCAAATAAGGATTGGCACTGGGACGTAGGTGACGTCACGCTCAAGAGCTTCGCGGTCGGGAGTGGGTGACATGACATCACTTGCGAGGCACACCGCCCCCTGGCGTTTGACGCCGATGAGGTCACGCTGCGTGGTGACGTCAGAGAGCGGGGTCAGAGTTCAAGTTGTTGTTGGCAGTGTCGTGAGCGCTGCGCTCCGCACCGACTACCCGAGTTCCATTCCCGCTCGTGGCCAACACCGCCAGTGACGACTTTCTGAGCCGGTCCTGAGCCTCCCCTACGTCGACTCAGCCTCAAACGAGTACCCGGTGCGGTGTGTCCAACATCGCTAGCACTGGGGAGACAAAGGCGGCCGGGCGTGGTGCTGGCCACCCACCCCCTCGTGTGCCGTCCCACCCTTAATAGGTGCTCGCTAACAGCACTTGCCCCTACAGTCTGTGCAGGCTATACGGGGGATCTTTGTCTTTGTGTGTTGGGAGCAAGTTTGAGTGGCGTATAGTCGTGGGAGTTGAACGGGCGCCTGCTGCTACTGACAGTCATTGACTGCGGTGGGACAGACGCTCATAGACACACACAGACAGAGAAGACAGGCGGACAGACAGAGACAAGAGGAACACAGACAGAGAGAGACGACATAGACACAGAGACAGGCAGAGAGAGACACACACAGAGGCAAACAGAGATACAGACAGAGATGTTGAATCGAACACACCGAACTCGCTCCATTGAAAGAGATTCCTCGATCTTTGCCCATCCCCGGAAGTCGTTTTAGTTTCTATTTATTTCCCTGTGTGGTGTGTAGTGTAAGCAATGTGGGATATTGATGTACACGGACATGAACAAGATCAGCAGACAAGACGTCTTTCATACTCTTTGGTTCTTTCAGTAAAGTCACGTAGGTAGAAAAAATTAAATAATAAATAAATCACGACGTTTCGATCGCAACACAAGCGGTCGTCCTCAGGTGAAAACTTCCAGACATTGTCGCGGCAGAAGTCACGTGAGCTACAGCTGAGCATTGTTTGACTGGTAAGAACGAAGTGGACCAGCCTACAATAGATTATTTCGTCCGTCCGTCCATCCGTCCGATGTCCGATTACGTGTAGCAACATCGCCCCCTACTGAAAACACTTGGCATGATCCTACAAAAACCTTTAGACTCTGTGAGGCTTTCCTGGCTAAACAAGTGTAACATTCCCTTATAATTCCCTCAGATAGCTTTTAATTAAAACATTTAAATTAATGAGGCTCTCCTGGCTAAACACGTGTAACATTCCATTATAATTAAAACTTTGAAATTAAATAAAAAACTCACAGCGCCCTAAAGCCTACAGCTAGGCCTAAAGCCTAGAACTAGGCCTCACAGTCTCCCTTCGTATCGTACCCCCGCGTGTGTGAAAGGGAGTTCATGTTTAACAATGTTACATTCCCTGATGTTTTTAATTTAAATTAAAAATTAGGTCACAGCGCCCTAAAGCCTACAGCTAGGCCTAAAGCCTAGAACTAGGCCTCAAAATCTCCCTTCGGATCGTCCGATTAGGTGTAGCAACATCGCCCCCTACTGCAAACACTTGGCAGGACCCTACAAAAACCTTTAGACTCAGTGAGGCTTTCCTGGCTAAACAAGTGTAACATTCCCTTATAATTCCCTGGGATAGTTTTTAAGTAATACATTTCAATTACAAATGTACTCGCAGCGGCCTAAAGCCTACAGCTAGGCCTACAGCCGAGAACTAGGCCTCAAACTCTCCCTTCGTATCGTACCCCCCCGCGTGTGTGAAAGGGAGTTAATGTTTAACAATGTTACATTCCCTGATGTTTTTAAATAGAAACATTTAAATTTAAAGCTTTTACATAAAAATAAACTCCCTACCCCCCCGTCGTCGGCGGGTCTCCAGCCTAGAGCCAGGCCTGGAAATCTCTCCCCCGCTTGGGGTGTATTGGGCGGGGCTACAGCGGTAGGGGGTGGGGCTGGGCGGGGCTACTGCGGCAGGGGGCGGGGCCACGAGGTGCAGGGCGGGGCTACGCGGGGTTGGGGCGGGGTTACGGCGGTAAGAGGCGTGGCCACGAGCTGGGGGCGGGGACACCGAGATGGGGCGGGGCCACGGGTGGCCGGGGCAGGGTTACGCGGGTGTAGGGCGGGGCCACGGGGGCGGAGCGGGGCCACGGGGGACCGGGGCGGGGTCAAGCGGTGTGAGGCGGAGCTTAGCGCGATGGAGGGAGGGGCCGTTGGCGAAAAGGGCCGGAGTCTACAGTCGAGAATACAGTACCGGGGGCGAGAAGGCGGGGCTAATAGTCATAGGGGCGTGGCTTACCCCAAGAGGTCAAGACCATGGGGGCGGAGTGTGGGAGGGGCAGAGCAGAAAGGAAGTAGAGATACGTCACGTGAGGGCTGCGTTAACCAATCGTATCCCACGTCTCGCGTTATCGGTTCCCGCGCGTGTCGTGATTTGTCGGATGAATCAAGCACGTGGAGTCCAGCGGACCAATCGCAAGGCGTCTTGCTGGGGGTGGGGGGGTCGGTTCACTCGCGCTGCCATTGGATGCGCGCGCCGCGGGCGCGTGGTTGGTTGTCCTAAGAATGAATTACTGGGGACGTCCAATTTATTTCAATGCGAATTTAGCGTTACTAAAACAATAGCTGCGTGTAATTCACGCAGTGAGGGAAAACTGTTAAAATTTCTGATAGTATAAAATATCTCGCAAGCCATTGACCGTTGCTAGGAGACCCAACGACCAATGAGCGCGCGCCTCACTGCGGTGACGTCACGCCACAACCTCACCGGTTAACTTTTTTCGGTCAAGTCACGTACATAGAAGAAATAATACTGAGTGAACCTGCCTACTACTACTGAGTTAACCAGCCTACAATATATTATACTGTCCGTCCGTCCATCCGATGTCCGAATTGGGTGTTATGACGAAGGAGGCAGAAGCCATGCAGCGGCAGGCCAATACCGAGGCCCGCAACACCGGCCGAGCCGTCTTGACGGAGGAGGCAAAAAGCAAGCAGCGGCAGGCCAATACCGCCGCCCACGCCGCCGCCCGAGCTGTCTTGACAAACGACGCAGAAGCCATGCAGCGGCAGGCCAATACCGACGCCCGCGCCGCCGGCCGAGCTGTTTTGACGAAGGAGGCAGAAGCCATTCAGCGGCAGGACAATACCGAGGCCCGCAACGCCACCCGAGTAGCCCAGTCCGATGAGAAGATAAGGGACGCAAAACGACAGGACAACACGGCTAAGCGTCGCGGCGCTAGGGAAGGCCTTTCAGTGACCAGCAAGGACATCCAATAACAACAGAACACCTCCAAACGTGGCATGTCTCGCACCATTCAAACCCAGGCGATACGCTGTGCCGGGGATGAGCGGCTGATGAGGCTCGCATCGACTATTGTCGAAAAAATAACGATCGATCAGGCTGACATCGATGTCCTTGCTCAAGGTCAGAATTACACAAAGCACCCTAATTTGGGTCTTGCCTACTTTCACCTTTGCTCCGCCGACCCGAACGGCCACGTGTTCAACAACGAAACGTTATTTGGCGACCAGTCTGGCGCAACATGCGAGCTTATTACTTCAACTATTGGTGCGCCTGTGTCCAAGGGTGACGCCATGCGTTGTCAAAAGAGTGCGGCCACTCACGATCCGTCAGGCGCCATTGCCGTGTGTGCCTCTTGCAACGAAATTATCTTTCCTGGCGAGAACGCGCCTGTCCAGCTCGATATCGTGGGGCTGCATGATGCGTTCCATTTGACATTGCAGCAGATGCAGCAACTCGACAGCATGCCAGCGGATGTTGTTTTTGTGCATGTTTCCGTTCTGCGGTGGAATCGACGCTGCTACCACTTGAACCCCGACTTGGTTTATGACATTCATGCGATCGCTCTGTGCACGACATGCGCTGCCAACCCATTGTCTCATGAGTACAGCATTGCTTCCGGACATGACTACGGCCGCCAATCCGCAATGCCGCACCTCAATGCGACGACCTTGAGTGCAGTTGTGCCTGTGCACAACTTTAACATAAACATTTTGGTGCGCCCACATCACTCCATGGGACAGTATTTGCTTTCCAAGTGACGGTCCAGTTGAAGTCGCGAAAACGCTTCCTGTTGTTGACGTCACGCGCCGTCCACACATCACATTCCTTGGCCCTCGTGATCAGTGGCGCAAAATCTGTGGCAAGTTTCATGCTTTGTACGATATCGATGTCCACGGGGCTTACGCGTGGCTTCGGGTTTGGAAACAGCTGCAGCACCCATTCTTTGTGGATGTCACTGTGGACAACTCAACATCAACGCAGTCGAAGCTGATGGAACTCGGGGCGCTAATCGAAGATGAGGCAATTGCTTACGACGAAAAGGATGTGGCCGACATGAGCAACGAGCTGGACCGCGAAGATGAAGCGACACCCGTCCTCGACGACAAGGCACCAGTCGCACTAGTACACTCTGCTGTTTTGCAGACCCAAACCCTCGTACCTCTTGGTCAAAATCTGGCGCTGGATGCTTTGGTGCAAATCGTGCAGCCTGACGACGCCCCGTCTACGAAACCTCCCCGCGAAAAGATCAGGCCTGTTGTGGCCGTGTCGTGGCGCGGAACACGGCTTGTGGAGTGGGACGAAAACGACGAGATATTGATGGGGGCATTTCCCACGCTCTTCATGCTGGGCAAAGGTGTGCCCAAAGGACCAATGACCGTGAGCTTCCATCGGCATCTAGGCCAATTCTACGATGGACGCTTTGAGGACACTCTTTGGATTTCTACAGCGTTCAACCAAAAGCAACGACACGCCTGTATTCGCAAAGCGGCTTCAATTGGAACGAAAAATTCAAAGACGCTCGAAAGCCTCGGAGACCTCGCAAATCTGGATTCCTTTCGTGAGACTCTTGCTCGGGCTCGAGACAACCCGTTGACTCAGGAGGCGAAAGTCCTGAACGCCAAAATATGCAAAGTTCTCTCGATGGTGGGATCCACTGTCCCCTTCAGCCCATTTGAGCGTGCCGCAACGCGTCCGAAACTGCTGTCTACGCGCTATCGTTATGGCGTTGGACTCCATTTCATCACTTTGGCACCCCCCGAGTTCGAGGATTTGACAACATTGCGCGTGGCGATCTTGCGAGTCAAGCACTGGAATGCATCGGTTCAAAAATTGCACCAAGAAGGAACTTCTCGATCGGACTTGCCCAATGATGTGACCGACGGTCCTGGTGGTCGACTTTGTCTGACGGGTCAGAATCCCATGCTGGTCGCACTTTCCTTCCTGCGAAAACAGCTGGTTCTTTTGCATGACGTTATCCGTTGCCCTGCTACGGCAACAACTCGCGTCAGTCGCAACTACACACAACGTGAGCGTGGAGCTTATGGCGTCGTCTCGGTTTTCAACGCCATTGTGGAGCCACAGTTGAGTGGCCGCTTGCATTGGCACATGACGCTCTACTCCTCCTGCCTAGAACCTTCGCTATTCACTCGGCTTGCAGCCGCGCCTGACAACCTGAAAGACGCAGCCGCGGCGTTTCTTGCGAGCACATCATGCACGCACGTGTCTTTGGCCACCCACGACTGGTTACGTGAGTTCGAGGCACACGAGGTCCCAAAACCTCGTGCTGCCGAAATTGCTGTGCCTCCTGCCTCGGACTATGAAGCCTTCGTTGAAGTCGCCGAGCGCAAAGCGATCCTCACAGGATGGCACAGCCATGGGTTCACGTGTGAGAAAGGAAAACGTGGCAAATATATGTGCAGCCTGAGCATGGGACGCGGAGTGCACGATCGTCCTAGCTGTCCTCTTCTTCTCACGATGCACAAAAACGAAGACATCAGCAAGGGCATCCGATGCGACATCGAGGGCCGCGAAATTGACGCCGCAACGATTCAGTTCCTCGAGCAGCCATTGAACCACCTCAATGGCGTCCTGCTGCGGCCTCATTTACGGGGACCGATTGTTTGGGAGTTGCACCGTCCAGAGCAAGACGCTATGTTTGTTGAAACTAACATCATCGCAACCAACCTGCTCGGGTGCCACAACAACTCCTCGATTATCAGTGGTCAAGACGTGGGCGAGGCTGTCGAAGAATACGAAGCTTCCTACATGACAAAAGGAACAGCTGAACTGCGGCAGGCAACCGCGTTCCTGCTTGCCGCAGTCGATGAAATTCACGCCCATCCAAGTCGAGCAGACGACAGTGGTACGAAACGGCGGACCGGCAAACATTTGGCTACTCGCACTGTCAACGCATTCTCGGGCGGAGCACAATGGTCTCTACCCTTGATGGCCTACGCACTTTTGGGACACGTCTCACATCACCAGTGAGTCTTTCCGATACGTCTTTGCCAACGAGAACGTTGCCTACATTGCTCATTGCCTCAAGGCAAAGGACGATGTGCAAGTCGATGCGTCACAGTCAACTGAGGTGCGCAATGACAACCTTTATGCCGAGGCGTGCTTGGACGAGCTCATCGCATCAGTTGACTGCAACGAGAAGAGCGTGGATTTCTGTGGGGGTACTGCGGCTTACGTCATTGGGGACAAGCGATTTTTTTTTTCTTTCGCAAGCAGAGTCGTACGCACACCGAGGCCAGCACTTTCAAGCTTTTTCACAGCTCGAGTTCGAGTGCATCGTTGAGCTAGTACCGAAAAGGAAGCCTGGGGAAGAGTACTCTGGCCGTGGGCGCCCTTCACGCAGAACCTTTCCTCTTGGCAGCGGCCACAAGCTCTTTGATCACTATGACGGCTTAATCCGGACGAAAATTAAGACAGCGATGCTAGCTGGATCCCACCCACCACTTTTTCCCGGAAACAAGCCTGACGAGGATTCAGCGCAGCTCCGGTGGTACAAAGACATGGACGAGCTCGCCAAATACGTCATGGCTCTGCTCACACCATGGGGGGTCCATAACATTGCTTCGACTATGGATCATTGCAGCGATGGACTATGTCAGCTTTTCAACGATTGGAACTGCAGCACTGCGTCGCTTGTAAATCGACAGCGCCTGCGATACATCCAAAACATTATGAGCAAGGGCCATCAAAGCAGCCGCAACGAAGTCGCATCGAGTCGTTGGCGCGAGCGCAATGCCGATTGGTGGGCAAACCTTCGTCACTCGAGCACAGTCAATTGCTCTGTGGGTTCTGGTGAGATCCTACCGGACGACGCAGAGGCAATGGGTCGCATAAGCCACAGAGAGCTTCAAGAACTTACAACTGCGGCTTCAGCAGGTGACAACAATATGGATGCTGCGCACAAGACACTGCGGGACAACTGCTTCGCCCTTCATGGCTCATTGAGCTCTTTGCGCCCA